CCGTCCGTTCCCCTCCCCCCCCCCGCCGCCCCCCTGTCGGCCAATCCCAATGCGGCGTCTCACTCGCGTACACACACCGCGATGTACGTACTCATGTACTCGCACACCACGCGCTCTTGCCAGCAATGCTAGCTCTTGCGGTGTGATCACATGGCGTCGTACCGAGTCCGACCGAGTGCGAGATCCGACTCCGGTCCGAATGCGTGACGTATATGTTGCGCGCGCGCGCACGTGTGCGCCACACATGGAAGGGTGAGTGCACGTATGTTACGTCGCGGGACGTCGTGTGTTATTAATGCGTGCATATGCCTCCGGCCGCGAGTAGCGTTCTCGTGCGATCGGGCGCGTTAATACTCCGACTTGTTACAACCTGAGAAATTAGGAGACAACCTAGGGTCTCTCGGCGTTAATCTAACCTTACCCGCGGACGATATTATGCTCCAACCACGTGCCAGACTGGCAAACTCACGATGACGTAATATCTATTCGACATCGAGGAAGAAAGGATATGAGGAGAAAGGGGAGAAAAGATTGATGATTATTTCATATATGTGTACATCATAGACCCAGCATTGTGTCCGTAGATTGAAGCTGAAAGTTGACAACTTAAAAAGCCAGTGGCTTTTATAGAAGTAATAATATCACAGGACATCATCATAACTTTATTTGTCACTTAATCAGGGAACACATCGAGGCAAGAATAAGTTAAAATGATTTTATTTATGTGATCATGAAAGTCAAAAATAATGATTTTTTTTATTATAAAATTTGACTGTTTATTGAATAAAAATTAAATTATTTTGATTTTTTATCAACTTTTGTGTGTTCCTTGGATATAAGTTTATTTTTTAATAACAAAAAATGATGATATGATGACATTGCTAAATGCATTCAAAGTGTAGATGAACAGTGAAAGTTTAGCTGAAAAGAATATACCTTGAGACAGAATGATAAACTAAATATCAATTTGTTTTATATATTTAGGCAATTGTATTTTATGTATCAAATACTATAATCAGTTTTATTACTTGAATTATAAAATACATAAAACTTTATTTCAATCTTTCGCGATTTTAAATACACTTGTATTGCAAAAACTAGTTTTAAATAAAAGTATTTCTAATATATGCCCAGCCCTGTTTATATATTTATAAACTTATTTACTGCCAATTTTCAGCTTCACCTTATACTATATAAATATAGTAAAATTTGATCTACAATATGTTGTTGATCTATTCATATAGATAGAATACAAGAGACTGTGGCTGTTTTAACAATGAAAGCAACTTTGTAACTGTTGTAAGATTCTTTAATGCAATTGATTCTTGCACTTAGTTCCTCAATAAAATGTATAAACTAATTTTATATGTATTAATTAATTACGATAACTGCGTGCAACAGAAAAAGCAGCTTTATAACTATCGTAAAATTCTTAATATGATTAGTTTATACCGTTTATACATTTAAATCCAAAGGAACTAACGGCCAATCAAAGAATTTTGCAACAGTGCGAAGCTGCTCTTTCTGAACACAACTCTATTAAAGAATCTTATAATTACAATTGCAAAACTGTTTTTTTTTTGGCTGAATGCAGCAATATTCAAAGGTTCATTCGCGTCGCATGCTCAAACATGCTCCGTTGAAGCATGAAGCATCCGTAGAGCACGTGGATCGAGAAATAAATTATTAGGAAAAAACATGATTTGCACTGTATTTTCTTCGCAAAAAAAAATAATAATATTGCACTCACAAGGATATGTCACAGTATATACAGCTGTCGATGTCCTTTGTTTTTCCAGACTGAAACTTTCACACGTGCAAACGGAAAAACGTGAAATTCTGTTCTCGAACGGAGAAAGATCTGGTCGGCCGGTTGCGAGATGCACTGACATGCGCCCGACTGTACTGCACAAACACACTGTCGGTCACACGTACCACGTATACATGTATGTGTGTATACACTTATTTACTAAGAAGTTGCAACACTTTTTTCTCGAACTCACCCCTTGTTCGTCTAGAGCAGTTGAATGTAAATTATTAGATTGAATATAAGTAAGAATCAATCGCTCGATGAACAGGCTGCACTCCGAAAGCCTACGTCGAAAAAGAAAGTATTGCAATCTTTTAGTAAAGGACTGTACACACAGCGGTATGTGTATGCGCCGCGCGCGAAATACGAATCTGTACAAGTCCACGACGCGTGCCTGTGCGTGTGCGTGTGCGTGAACTCGCGTATCGCGCGCGATACTTTAACGGCGATACTGAGCGATACCGCGTGACGAAAAGCGAGACCCATTTCGCGCGGCAACGGCAAATATGCGGCACAATGGCCGCCCGCTTCTCGATCAAGGCGACAGGCGTGCGTCCGATGACCAGACGACTCCGACGAGTTCGACGAGTGCCACGCAACGCAGCTGAGAAAACCGGGAGAACCGTCGCGAACGACGCTAACACGACGCGACAAGACGCGACAGAGATGCACTGCGATGTCTGAACTCGTTGGAGATAATTGTTCCCCCTTTTTTCTCTCGGCTGCGATCGGCACCCTCCCTGCACTTCTCTCGCGTCGTTTAAAATTCAGAAGGCTAATATTAACCCTATTAAACTTTTTTTTAACTTTTTAACACGGTTCATATCTTTCCTCCATTCCTCTCCACATTGCGGAATGAAAGACGATGAACGAACTGTCCGGGTTCAGCTAAAAAATAGGCCCATTTCATTTGTCGTACGAAAACAAATTTTAATTGCGCCAATTGGCTACAAAAATAAAAAAGTTCTCGAGTTTCTAGGAATTCTCTATTTCGTAGGTACTCAATCAACACACTTAAGAAATTTGTCGTACGACAAATGAATTATTAGCTTAATGGCTGCGTTTCTCAGCAGAGAAAGCAGCTTTGCAATTGTTGTAAAATTCTTCAATATGATTGGTTCATGTATTTAGATCCAATGAGGAAATAAGGTCAATCATATTAAAGAATTTTTAAAACAGTTTGCAAAGCTGCTTTTTCTGCTGAACGCAAACATATATTGCTAGCGAGAGTGATTCACTTGCCAATCACAGCAACTTCTGCGAAGGGAGTTTTTTTTTATTTTTATTTTTTCTAGCGCTGTGATTGGCTTGTGCGTAATTGCCTCGTGTGTAATTGATATACACCCACTGCCATCAACGTACAGTAAAGCTCGTTTTTTTTTAGCTGAACTTCTTGCAGCTCACTTTTTTCTTTAATTCTTTTTTCATGTTGAAGAGAAAAAGAAAAGATGCGAACTGTGCAAAAAGCTGGTGCCCGTTTTTACTAATGCAGAGTTTAATTTTAATCTTGGTTCAATTTAACTCTTCATAAGAATTAGAAAAGAGCAAGTTGTGAATCAAGATTAATCTTTCATTGTTGAAATCGAGCCTAGAAACAGAACAAACTTTTAATTTTAATCTCAGTTTAATTTACTTCGTATTTTTATCCAGATTTTCTTAAAACTTTGAATTTTCTTAGAACCAGAAAAAGAAAAAAAGTAAATTCGATCGAGATTAAAATTAATGTACATTAGTAGAAAATGACAAAATGAACAATTCAAGTAGAACATAGGAGTCATAAAGATGTTATGACCTTATTTATTACATAAAAAAAAAAAAAAAAAAAAAAAAAAAAAAAAAAAAAAAAACAAACGGACAAATAAACGAATAAATTTATATGCTGCTAGGCTTTCGATGCGGAAAGTTCCTCTCTGTATAAAATACACGTGGATATATTTATCGTAAATGGAAATCGATAACTTAATTTAAGACGGTCACGTAAAAGCGACGGATCCTTCACGTCAATCTAACATTAATCTAACTTGTACCTCTGTATTTCTTTATTCGTAAAAGAAACGAGGAAGCACGATTGTTCCAGAAACAAAACCGAACACTAATATCGCGATCGAACGATACGTCGTAAACTCGCTCCACCGAAAGGTGCTATACGACAGAGGAAGGTGCTGGATTAATACGACACTGCCTGGTGCAGCGAGTGTGACGCGCGTTACTTCTGTTTATATGCAAAACGCACAACGTATCCAATGCAATTTCGTAATGAGATTATTGATTTTTTTTTTTAAGAACCGTCCATCCGTCCCGCCCGCCCCCATCTCATTCTCTCTCTCTCTCTTTCTACCTTGCCCGCTCGATACGTCTCCGTCCCGCTCCAAACTCCGCAGTTCGGCCGCATATCGCACCGCGCACGACGCACGCGTGCAGCGTCTCGCATAATTGAATACCCTGCACTCCCGGACGGTATCGCCCGTCCAGCGGCCGCGTATGCGAAGCTAACCGGCAAATTCTCGGTATAATATCTACATACCTCGGTGATTGTATTGATTTTCCCCGACAGTATGTAAATTAACGTACGGCGACGTAAGTATGCGCGAGGGAGAAATTCTGCGCAGTTCACGTCTCTAGGCGAACACTCGTGAAACGATTTAGGTTTAGATTAAATTTTAATCTTGGTTTCAGCTTATATACACTTCATCCGTTTCTAATTTTTAAAACAACAGAGGGTAAAGAGTCGAACTGAGATTAAGGTATTAGTGAATTCGGTCACTTGCATTACACTGGATTAGTGTATATTAACAATTGTAAGAGTTGCTATATATGAATGTAGCAAAATTAAATGCAAAAGCATATAGATAGTTTGAAGAATTAAATACTTAATAATGATATTATTAGCAGAATATACGTGGGCAGTCAGTGATTTTTTAAAAGAAGAATATATATTGAAAAATAAATCAAATTTTAATAAAAAGTCATCAAGTTGCCCGTTAAATGTCAAAGTTAATTATATTATCACTTATTCAGATTACTTTGAATAAAGTAGGCTTTAACGTATTAATCCAGTGTAGTGCGAGTATCCGAACCATTAATTACATTTAAACGGTGGAAACGGACATTAATTTCGCAGCCCTGTAAAATGATTTATGATCTTATTAATTCAACAAGAATTTATTGATTTCTTTTTTTCTTTCTCCGAAATTATGTCGTTAATGCGCTTAGATTAGCAAAATAGATTAAATAAATTTTAATAATACAAATATTTTTATAATCTTGCAGCTCGAATTTCACTCATAATGTAAAGTTCAAAAGGTAAAAAAGATAGGGATAAATTCAAGGTAAAAAAAATTATTAAGATATCTAGTAAGTACACGATTTATATCCGCTATCACATTTGTGCCAATCAAGACTGGAAGTTCGGTTTTCCCTCGTAAGTACATCCGAACTTCTGCACGATCTGCGTTGCTGCCCAGATGCCGCATTTTATACATGTGTCTATGTTTTTACTTTGTATAAGTTGTGCTAGAAAACCTGAAACAATTTATCCAGTCGATAAAAGTTAAGCTTTCAATTAGTTTTCTTTTTATATCTAATCTCTTTTATTGTCATTGTATTTCAATAATATACTACGAGAGCGAGCGTGGCAAAACAGATAGCGTACTGATCTGTTATGCTAGAGATTACAGGTTCAAATCCCGGTACAACCAAAATATTTTCATACGCTCGTATCTCCTTTCGGAAGGAAGCGGCAATCCACCGAGAGTAATTTTGTCAAGAACACTTCTCTAACACGTCGTTTGGAATCGCCGTTAAACTGTAGATCCCATATGACTGTGTACAATCAGTGTACCACAGGCATATAAGAGAAGTCACCACGCTCGGCCACGAGCAATAAGATCAAGAAGAAGAATCTCAATAAAGATATCATTACTTATATGTATCTCAATGAAGTTATTATTTGTTATTGTAACGGCGATAGATCCGTACTCACCACCGACAAAAGCATCCCCGGCGGCATTAGTATCTACAACTTTCTCCTCTGGCAGTTTTATAATAGGATACTCCGTCACAGTGCCATCCTTGGCTAAAAGCACTGCGTCAGTACCCTGTGTTATCACGACGATCCTTTTCCTCTTGTTATTTATCTTATCCATTTCCGATATCTTCAGCGCGATCTGCCTTCGGTCCGTCGCATTAAGATTGTTGATCTTTGCAAACGTGTCCGCTTCTGTCTCGTTCCCGAATAAGATGTCCACGTAGGGAAACGCCGCTAGCATCGGCTCTTGGAAGAATTCGCATAGAAACGGTGCGCTGAGATTCATCATGAACATTTTGTCGTTTTCGTAAGCGTGTTTGGCTACTGTTTGTATGGATTCGGGACTGACCGTTAAGAAAAATCCCTGAAATACAGAATAACGAATTTCATGAATCATTTTACTGAATCGCTCTTTCATATATTTAGATATTAGGAAATCTTTGCGTTTACCGATATGTAGATGTATCTCGCGATATCTATTAGTTGCTTGTTTTCTGACTTTTCGATATGTGATTGTGAAAAGCAATTTGCCGCCGCTAAATTGGCGCATAGGGAGCGTTCTTTTCCGGTAATGAGCACCGCACACGTCCCAGTCGGTTCCTGATCGGTGTATTGATAACGAACATTTAAACCATCCGCCGTTGCCTTATCCTCCAGAATCTCGGAATATTTGTCTTTACCGACACAGCCCATGTATGTGGTGATTTTCGGTTTTTGCAGAAACCACTGTATACGTTGATTATTTATAGTTTGACTTTTGCCCATTTTTACTAATGTAAATTAATCTCAGTTTAACTCTTTTTATCTCTTTCTAATTCTAAAAATTAGAAAAAGATGAAAAGTAAATTAAACCAAGATTAAAATTATCTACATCAGAAGAAGAAATAAATTTAAGATTTTCCTTCTTTTACCCGCCAAATAAATTTGGCAATGTCCTCTAAATTCTTTAAAAGCTCACTTTAAAGAGTGCAAATTGAGCCAGTCTTTTTTAAGAATGGCTCAATTTTTAATCTTTAAGACTAAGATTTATTCTAAAAGTTTTAGAGAGTGAATAATAATTTTTTGTGATTCTACCTACTTGCGCTACTCTCATAGTATTCTGCACAGATCCACCCGCAGTAAATTCAGCATTGTATAAGTCAATCAGCTCATCATATAAAGGCTTGTGTTTTTCTTCAGCAAGAATGGCATTGTTGGACTTCAGACCATATTTTTGCAACAAGTCATGATTAACATATGCTGAAATATCCAGGAGAGGATTTCCCATACCCAACAGCAAACCTTCTCTGAAATGTTCATTTGATAAAATTTTTAATACAATTTTCATCTAGATCAGTCTACAACTTATGCCCGTTTCTACCAATGTAGTCTAATTTTAATTTTAGTTCAACTAATTCTACATCTTTTTCTGATTCTAAAAATTATGGCCATTTCTATCAATGTATTGTAGATTATTAACTTAAATTTCGATTTAATTTATTCTTTATCCTTTTCTAATTCTTAGGACTAGAAAAAGATATATATATATAAGTAAGTTAAACCAAGATTAAAAATTAATCTACATTGAAAGAAATAGAAAGAGTAAATTAAGCACAGATTAAAGTTGATCTATATTTGTAGAAACGGGCATTTAAATTTTAAAGGAAAGCAATCCTAGATATTGCGCAATTTTATTAATAAAAAAAAATTTCCTGAGGAACGGCGATAAGATAATGCCAAACAATTTATTATCTCCGAGTCAGCTCGATAAGAAAAGCGATATTATTGAGGAAATAATAAAAACGCATACGGCAATTTCGTATTGCGATGCCATTTTGAAGCAATCGCATCGAGCTCACATTGTTCACAACTCGGTGACGAAATCGCGTCTATGAGAATCGACCTTGAGGATTACATAACCTGTATCTTTCCTCTTGCCGGACGCAACTAAAATTTCCACGAGTCTGACGTCGTTAATCGTTCATGCAATTTTTATAATTGAAACAAAAATTATAATATATGCACCATTCTTTGCAGACAATCCTCTTTTTTCGACAGCGAATTGGTTGTCATCGACGATCGCCAGTAGTGGAGTACATATATGCGGCATGCCGAACTTAACCTTGTCACGTAATAAATCCTGACTCATAACCTCCGAAGAAAATT